CGATTAAAGTTTTCTTACTGTAGGACTGCATGTTACATGTGTTAACACAATATTATACCAATCTCGTTAATCAAGTATAAAGTATAAACTATCTTTTTCCATGAATAATTGACTCCCATAACATTTATAGAATTTTTTAATTATAAGGTAATTTCCTAATATAATTTAATATTTTGGGTTAAGATATTCACAATGAACCCCATGTTATGTGATCTATTCTTGTCTTTGACCCCATGTATATTCATTTTTTCATTTAATCTTAATGTCTTTTTACAATTTTGTTTAGTTAAAAATCTATAATATCTTTTTTCTCATTAAAAACCCATGTAATATCTATTAACATATCAATTTTTTTTCTTCTTTTTAGACAAATACAATTTTAATTTATACATTCTTTTCAAAATTCTTCTTAAAATATATTTTTTTTCTAATCAATCTCCACAATATATATTATATATATTAGCAAAAAAAAGTCTTGATGATATAACTAGAAAAAGATAAATTGCGAACATTTTTAATCTGAAAGATGAAATATGAAACATTTTAGGTTTAAAAGTTATGTATATACTAGGTCAGAGCTCGCGGTGACACCGCGGTGGAAAATATTCGTCAACAATTATATTTGATTTGATTATTAATATCGTTTGTGTTTTATAGTGAATATGAAAATATGAATGTGATGTGTTGTAATCGAATCTGGTGTGGCTAAAACATTGTTAGCAATAAGGCCCATTATGAAACCAATTGCTGACACGTTATTATTGTAGTTGGGCCAATTTATAGGAAATTCGTAGTCCATCTATTTATTAATTGTCGGTTAAAGAAAAAAAAAAACGAAACAAAGAAGCTAAACTCTTCTTCTTCAACGAAATCGAAATTTTTAGGAGACCAATCAATTGAGTGATTGCATCTCCGTTTTTTGGCTTCGGAAGCAAATTTGATGCAATTTTAATCGTAGAGGTAAGGAATTTTTATGTTTTTCAGCTATAGGATCTATATAGCAAGCAATCCATTCGAATTAGAACTTACAAATCAACGATTCATATTCGAAATTAAGTTGTTATAGTAGATGAGATATATACTTATTATAGGGGAAGCTTGTGTTGTTGTTTGGGAAGATTGATGTACTGTGTGTTGATGAACGTTTGAATTGGGATTTGGTGAAACAAAATTCAGATATTAAACCTCTATCTATCGATGTAGTTACTTTTCATTGTTGAGTATCATTGCCCCGATGTTAAGTTTAGCAGGTGGCCTGTATGTGAATATAAGATTGACGAATTGTATGAATTTATTTGAATTTCTGTTTTCAAGTAGAGTTTTCAAATTTAGTTTAGTTTGGATGGTATTGTAATATGAAGAGATAAATTCATTTCTTTTAAGAAATTTATTTGATTAAAGGAAGAGCATAAGATAAGAATTAGTAGTAAAGTTGAATGGAAATGAATTATTACATTGTATTTTAAGATGTATCCTAAGCAGCATGCAAAGGGAAGAAAAGTTGATTGCTAAAGGCTTGTGTTTAGACGTATGGTGTGATACAATATTTATAGTCGAATACAATTGTAGGGTTTAAACCAAGAATATTCGTCAAAGGATATTCAACGGCGAGATTGTATGGTTGTTTTGATTGACGAAATAATTAAAAAGGAAGTAACATGTCAAAAAAAATATATGATTAACTAAACAATATAATTCGTTTCTGCATTGTGAAGATTTTTTAAGATTGTACTTGCGATATTAATAAGATTAGATCGCAAGGATTAATTTTGCATAATCTTATTTTTAAAAATTAGTTGAACGCAATTCTTGTTATTGTTAGGTAATTAATTAGTGCTTTTAGCATAAATAATGTTTTAGTGTCGACGAATATATATGGAAATCTTGAAGATCCGATTACTATATATTGTAATTTTGTATTTCGTTCTAATCTTATTGTTAGGTAATTAGTTAGTGCTCTTTTAGCGACAATAATGACGAAATATATATGGAAATCCGATTAATGTTTTATAATTATGCTTGCAAAGATCCGTTTAGGATGATTCCGGGTCAATTTTAATTTTTTTTCAATTGTAACCCGATCCAAGTACAAATGTACTTCTCTTTTAATAGTATAGAGATATACGAAAATTTATTTAGTTTATTTTAAATTTTAAATGTTTTATGACCCCTATAAACAAAATTTCTGGCTCTGCTACTGTGGAAGTCTGCACAATCTTCGTTGAAACCACAGCTATCACCAAGATACAATTTTTTGTGGAAAATCTTTCTGACAAAGAAAGTGTTCCTAATCTCGGGCACGAAAATTATTATTCAATCTTTATCAAGAACTAGTGAAATAATCTTTACATTAAACCAAAAAAAAAAAAAACTAGTGAATATAGTGATGCAGCTATATATGTATGTTTGCTAATTTATTGAATTCTAGTTAATTAAGCACACAATCTCAACGTGCTCTAAAAACGAGTGGTTCTATGTAAGTGAAAAATATCGTCGATTATAAACATTATCGGACCAGTAGCATTTGTTGCACCAATCGAAAACACACACATATACTTATAGCCTCATTTCCCATCTGTCGTCATAAGTAACCATACTTACCCTACCTCATTATAAATACCACCCTTTGTGTCACACAAATAAACATCACAAACTAAACAATAAACCATATATACCACAAAAAACATGAAAATTCTTTCACTTTCACTTCTCTTGCTCTTGGCCGCTACGGTCTCGGCATCCGTTCCAGAGCTCATCGAACTCGTCGATTCGAACACCATCTCTGGGAACGAAGCCGAACTCTTAGAGAAAGAGAAACTTTCCATCAACTACCACAACTGCAGAAGCTGGCACCTTGGTGTTGAGACTTCTAACATCATAGACTTCGACACGGTGCCCGCAAATTGCAAAGACTATGTTGAAGACTACTTGATCACTTCCAAACAATATCAATCTGACTCCAAAACTGTGTGCAAAGAGGCTTATTTCTATGCCAAAGGACTTTCCCTAAAGAACGACACCGTTAATGTTTGGATCTTTGACCTAGACGACACTCTCCTCTCTAGTATTCCCTACTACGCCAAATATGGATACGGGTATATACACATTATTATTATTAGTCCTACATATACCACCTCCATTGCATTGCATTAATAATATTATCTTCATATTTTTTTGAAAATATTTAGATGTCAATATATATATGGACAGATAAATTTCGGTTTTATAGTATATAATTTTCAACTCTAAATAGGTTGACTGACACTGACCAAAATGTTTTTTTTTTTATATCTACTGTGCGATTTCTTTTAAATCTAAGTATTTTTTTTCTTCTGGCTTCTTAGGACAGAGAAGACCGACCCGGGGGCATACTGGTTGTGGTTAGGGACCGGAGCATCAACTCCCGGGCTTCCGGAGACTTTGCATCTTTACCAAAACATCTTAGAACTCGGGATTGAACCCATCATACTTAGTGACCGTTGGAAATTGTGGAAGAATGTCACTCTCGAGAATCTTGAGGCTGCTGGTGTGATCTACTGGAAGCATCTCATATTAAAGTAAGAATCAAGATTAATTATATATTTATATACAATAATTGTTTAAGTATCATATGTGATTGAATCGAGGACTAAATATGGAAACGCAGGCCAAACGGTTCGAACTTGAGGCAAGTGGTGTACAAGTCAAAGGTGAGGAAGAGCCTGGTGAAGAAAGGATACAACATCGTTGGCAATATTGGAGACCAATGGGCTGATTTGGTTGAGGATACTCCTGGAAGGGTTTTTAAGCTCCCAAATCCACTCTACTACGTACCTTCTTAAGCATCTATCTATCATCATGGCTTTGTCCCCTTGTATCCGCTTCATATCTATGTCGTTTCGTTTATCTTTGTAGCCGTTTTGGCACCGGTGCATAAATAAAATGTCTATCATATCTTTTTTTTTTCTTGTTATCCTAAATTAATTAGAGTTCAAAAAAGTTATTCGTAAGGAATGTTGTTTGTATATGTGATATCCTATCGTAACTTAATAAGTACAAAGACTTTGTACTAAATGTTGTTTTTCTTTATAGGAAGTATTTAATCAACTGGCCATGACAATTTGAATTTAATAAAAAGAAAAAACAAAGTGAATTGAAAAAAAATAATTTAGCAGTTAATAGTTAAATAAAACAAAAATGAATTTCGAAAAATTTGGAACAAAAATTTTGCTATAATTTTGCAATATAGGATGTAAAATATGTTTATGATGTATGGCATAATGTCACAATCTCATAGATTAAAGTAAAACACGTTTAATTATTGTACAGTATAAAAAATAAGAATATCACTCGTTGATGTTGCACGGGAGAAATATATAATCCTACAAAAAAGTAAAACTCGAATTGATAACCATTTTTAAGGAAAAAATAAGTAGGAATATCATGTTCCTCTTTGTTCTTCAATATGTTTTACAATTTGTAGGAATTTTTGTTTCATTTTTCAGATATGTGGGTCCTACACTTTTTCTCTTCAATAATAAAACAAAATTATTAATTAAAAAGAAATAAATATACAACAAAAACAATTATTTAAATTATTGCCATTGAATATATTTTTTTGGATAATTGACAAAATAGCACAATATTATATTTTATTTCCAAATTTAGCACCAAAATTCTGAAATTCAACATATAACACAAGTTTATATCTAACCGGCAATTTTCAAAGATGCGTTATTGAGCCACAAAGACCAAACGGGCCACAATTGACGAAATTGCCAAAACATATCTCAAACCGCCAGATTCTCGTTGCCATAATAATGACCTAAAAATCGCCGGATTCTCGTCGCTTCGCCGGGTTCTCGTGCTCGCTGTTTTCGTTACCATTTCACATTCTCGCCCGATTCTCGCAATCATCATCTTTTCTACACAAAACCTATAAATCTTTTTCACCCTCTCTCACTGCAACCTAATCCCGTCATCCATTTTGGATTTAAAACTCAAGGTAAGCTCTGAAATTTGGATGAACTCAGAACCGTATTTCCCAAACTCAGAAACACTGAGTATTACTTTATTAGAAATCTGGTTAAGAAGATACAACTCTCTTAACTGGTTTTACACAAGACCTAAAATTACTTTTGGCTTGTCACCTGAGATTTCTAAGACTCACAAGAGAATTACAAGAACACACTCTCTAATCTCTCTTGCAACTCAAACAGAGTAAAGCTTACTCTCTAACAGAACAAAAAAGCTTGCGATACTTTTTTTGCTTCAGAAACGGCTAACCCTAGCAAGAGCCTTAGCACCCCTTTTATATTCACGAGGTCTTCAGATCTTCTAGGTTTAGTCTTCTCGATCTTGGATCTCTCCAAATCTCCATCGAATATCTTCTTGCCAAACTGAACTTATCCTGTTGTGATCACCACGTCATTCATTCATTTGGCGCCTATTCCACGTCAGCGACAATTACTTAGTCATTACTCCTGTATCCAAGAACAGCTTCAATCCTGTTCCGGCAACTTGTGCACTTATCTGAGCTCCTGGTATAGAGTGCACTTACAATCTCCCCCTTTTTGATTCAATTTGTCAATTCAAGCCATCCTGCAATGATTCTCTCAAGATTCACAAGCACACATCATATCAACGAAAAACAAGGCACAGCGGAATTATTAAAATTAAGTCTTAACTCCGAAAAATATTCAGACACAGGATCCTTGTTCGCAAGATACTGAAAAACAGAGAAAACATGGCATACATACAAAAACAATCCGAAGTAATGCCAAAAGTTAAGACTCCCCCTAAATCCTAGACCACTCAGTCTCCAAAACTAGTCTATATTATCCTGACTGAGTGTCTTCAAACCCTTCTTCATTGTCAACATCCAATGAATCCACAAATGAATCCGAATTAGAGTTCTCTGAAGGCCAGCCTTCATCAACGGGCTCAGCATAAGAGTCATCAGCTTCAGGTTCAGAACCTTGAGCCTCGGCATCAGCATTCACACCCTGAGACTGATCAGAAGAAGGCTGTACTAACCCATAATCTCCCCCTGCTTGTATGACACAATTGAGTCAAAAACAAAACTTCTACCAGGATTACACCTATGCACTCAAGACTCCAGTAAAGAAACTTGAAAACGTACCTTCCAACCGAACAGCCATGTTCAGCAGGAGAGTGGATGCGTGTCTCAGGTCTCCTGCCAATGAGGTTCCAAACACATACTCTCCTCGACGTCTTGGGTGATCTATACCACCTCTCACTTCTGGATTGAACTTCTTTGGAGGTGGATCAGGTTTTTCAAAGTTCTCCAAGGTAATCTCCCTCTGAAACATAAGTACCCGATAGATCAAGTTCGGGAATGGCAGAATGTTTAGAATCTGACCTGGAAAGCGAGCAGCTCTTTCCACTTGATCATATACCAGCTTCCCATAATTGAAAGGGATTTTCTCATTGATAAGATACAAAAGCTTAGCCCGATCAATTGTCACATTTGAATTGTTCTTTGATGGAAGCCAATTAATGCAGCAAATCAAGTACAGGCCAGCCAGATGTGTAGGCATCACAGGAGTACGCAGGTCCTTCCAGGTAACAACTTTACCTTCTGACAGATACTTAGCCAAGGCATGCTTCGACAATGCAGCTCTTTCATACTCAGCCTTGGCATGCCACTTGATAGCAGGAGTACGAAACGCTTTGTTGATCATCTGTGGTGAGAATTCGTACATTTTCCCTTGAACAAACACAGGCGACTTCTTGGTTACCTCATTGAATATGTGGAAATTTGAGTAAAATTCCAGCACAACTTCTTTGACATACGGATCAATCTCACTAACAGTGTCAGACAGGTGATTCTCCTCTATCAATTTCATCATCTCAGTAGTACTAGCAGGACCACGCGGAACATACCTCTGGTCATGAAATTCACGGTGTGTGAAATCTTTGTACCTTTCAATTCCCTGAGATGTGAGGAAGCGAAAGTTCATCGGAGCATAGGGCAGCTTCCAAATCGAAGGGTCAGCCGCATCCCTCTTTGCCTGATGATAGCGGTGCATGCTGCAGCGGTCTGATGAGTCGTACGGAACGTTCCCGCGGGTCTTCATGAAGTTCTTCAGCAGATCTGGCACCGGATCGTTGATTGGGGGATGCGAGGAGGACGGTGCAGATTTGTGGCCAGCCGCTTTCGAAGAAGATGGCATCGATTTGTCTAACGGAGCAGGGCCGGAGTCAGCCGCAGCATCTGGTGGCGGAGCAGAACTCGAGGATCGAAGGGCTGCTTTCGGGGGAACTTCCTCAATTGAGCTGTCGGAATCATTGAGCTCCAATCGATCGGGATGAGAGCGCTTAGCAGCAGCGCGAGTTCTCGCCATGGCTAGGGTTTGAGAGAGGAATTGGGAACGACTCTCAAAGAGAAAGAAACACAAAAACTTGTGATATCCCGCGTGTTCTCCTGTTAGACAAACAAAAAACTCAAAACCAAAAATTAGTGCTAACCGGGTATAAAACCGGTTTAATCAAGAATCAATCAGAGAAAGCACTAAAAGAAACACACAGAGTTCTTAATTTTTTTAAAAAAAATTTTTAAACACGGTACCTCTGAAGATCCAACTCAATTTTCTGACGCAAGACAGTGATTGACATAGAACAAGTCCCTATCAGTGTACTCAGAACAGCAACCGTCTCTTCCACATGTTGACATCTGTGCAGTCCCAAAGCTAATTGTACAGTGCGAAGCTCCTTTTTTTTTTTTTTTTTTTTTTTTTTAAAACACATAATCTGCTGTTCCAACACATATGAGAATGTTGATTCTTCAAGAGTAGTCTTCACACTGTCATGGATCAGAGAGCTAGCGAGTCCTTTGACAAGGAATGTGATAGACTGTGCAGCAGCATTCAGGCTCTATGTAACCACAAGGCTGAGAAAGCGTTTCAGACCTTGTGAATGTGCATCTTACTGCTCCTTTCTGCAGTGAGAGAAGATTGCAACCAGAGGACAACAGTTCCTTTTTTTTTTTTTTATGACAAGACTGCTTTTGAACCTCTTTTATTTTGATTGATGTTTGCTCCTCTCACATATTGTTAGGTAAACAAGATTTCTCCTTTGTTCCCTCGGGTTAGTGACAAGATTTCTCCTTTGTCCCCCGTGACTTAGATAAGCTCATGCTTCATCTTATGACATGAAATGCTTTTTCTGCTCCTTTCTGCATTTCACGCCTTCCTGAATGCTCTACACACATTGTCCATCACACAATTTACTGACTTTGCAGCTCCAACACATGATAGGTAGCTCTTTCTCTTGATGAACTTTTCAGCAAAAAATTTTAAACAAAACACTTGTGAATCACAGAAATATTTTGAAAAACACACTTCTCACTGTACAACCAACCCTGTTTCAGCACAAACACTCAACGAGAAGATAGTCAGAGTTCACAAACACCCAGGGACTTTTGCAAGTTCACAAACGTGTCAAAGTCTAAAGGCTTAGTGAAAATATCAGCAAGTTGGATTCCAGTGGGTACATGTTCTATGATAACTTGTTTCTCTTCAACTAATTCTCTAACAAAATGATGCCTTATCTCAATGTGTTTAGTTCTAGAATGCTGCACAGGATTCTTAGAGATGTCAATTGCACTTTGATTATCACATTTAACAAGTAAAGGTTCAGGAAATGAAATACCATAATCCAGGCCCATTTGTTTCATCCAGAGGAGTTGAGTGCAGCAGCTGCCAAGGGCAATATATTCAGACTCGGCTGTAGACAGTGCTACAGAATTTTGCTTCTTACTGTGCCATGAGATGAGATTGTTTCCTAGAAAAAAACAACCACCAGTAGTACTCCGACGATCATCAAGATTCCCTGCCCAGTCAGCGTCACAGTAGCCAACTAGTGCCAGACTAGTATCCCTGGTGTAACTAAGCCCGTAGTTCACTGTTCCTTTCACATATTTGACAATTCTCTTCACAGCTGCTAAGTGAGAAGCCTTGGGATTGGCTTGATATCTTGCACACAGTCCTACGCTGAGACATAAGTCCGGCCTACTTGCAGTGAGATAGAGGAGACTTCCAATCATACCTCTGTATGCCTTTTCATCCACCTTTTCACCAGCCTCATCCTTGGAGAGTTTCAACGTAGTACTCATGGGAGTTCTGGCGGACTTGCTAGAACACATTCCAAACCGTTTTACAAGATTTTGGGCATATGTGCTCTGTGAGATGGTAATGCCTTCATCCGTCTGGTTCACTTGCAACCCCAAAAAATACTTGAGTTCTCCTACCATACTCATCCTGAACTCAGTTGTCATTGCCTTTACAAATGATTTGACAAGTTTGTCGGATGTTCCTCCAAAAACGATATCATCTACATAAATTTGTATGATGATCATCCCATGACTATCCCTTTTGACAAACAGAGTCTTATCAACACTCCCACGTATGTATCCTTCCACTGTCAGAAAAGTAGTAAGTCTCTCATACCATGCACGAGGTGCTTGTTTCAAACCGTACAGAGCTTTTTCCAATTTAAACACATGATCCGGAAACTCAAGACTCTCAAATCCTTTGGGCTGCTCTACATACACTTCCTCCTGTATGATGCCATTCAAAAAGGCGCTCTTGACATCCATCTGCTGCAGTTTAAACCCCATACCACATGCTGTGCCAAGAAGAAACCTTATGCATTCGAGCCTTGCAACCGGAGCAAAGGTTTCATCGTAGTCTAGTCCCTCAACTTGAGTGTATCCTTGTGCCACGAGCCTAGCTTTGTTTCTGATGATATTTCCTTCTTCATCACTTTTGTTTTTGAAGATCCACTTAGTTCCAATAACATTCACTTTTGGAGGCCATGGAACCAAATACCAAACTTGATTTCTTGAGAATTCTTCTAATTCATCCTCCATTGCAAGAATCCAGAAATGATCATCCAAAGCTTCTTTGACATTCTTAGGTTCTGTCATGGAAACAAAACATGAAAACATGATCTCTTCAAAGCCTGCAAACGAAGCCATTTGTCTGTAGTTCTGTTTTATCCCTCTTGTTACTCTTTCACCATTCAGATCTCCGATTACATCCCCAGCAGAATGATTACGGTGTACTTGGATTGAGTGAACTTCCTCATCAGATTCTTCTTCTGATTCATTTGCTTCACTGACATTTTGATTCTCATTTCCTTCCACTTCTTGGATCCTTGGAGTTAAGTTGTGAGCTTCACCACTATTACTTGCAATTATTTGCAAAGTGGGCATACTTCCATCATCAAAGACAACGTTCATTGACTCTTCTATCTTTCCCCTCCTCTTGTTCCAAACTCGATATGCCAAACTGTTGGTAGCATAACCAAGAAAGAAACCTTCTTCACTGCGAGAATCAAATTTTCCCAGCTGATCCTTATCATTCATGATGTAACAGACACATCCAAATACTCGGAAGTAACTTAGATTTGGCTTCTTCCCCTTCCAGATCTCATAGGGAGTTTTATCAGACCCTATCCTGACATACACTCGGTTTATGACATAGCATGCAGTACTAATGGCATCAGCCCAAAACTTCTCAGGGACTCCATTCCCATGAATCATGGCTCTGGCCATTTCTTGAAGAGTTCGATTTTTCCTTTCAACAACACCATTAGACTGTGGAGTTCTAGGTGCTGAGTATTGGTGGAAAATTCCTTGAGACTCACAGAAGCTGTTAAAGGCTTCACTTAGAAACTCACCTCCGCGATCACTTCTGATTTGTTTTATTCCCATCTTCTTCTCATTTTTCAGCTGAAGAGCTAAGATCTTGAAGCTGTTGGCAGTCTCAGATTTTTCCCTGATAAATCTTACCCAAGTATAACGTGAGAAGTCATCAACCAAGACAAAAACATATCTCTTTCCGGCAATGCTTTCTGTCTGCATTGGTCCCATTAGATCCATGTGAATGAGATCTAAAACTTGAGTGGTCTGCACTCCCTCCACCTTCTTGTGTTGAACTCTAATCTCTTTTCCTTGGTTGCAAGCACTACACACGATCTTGTCAAGATGCTTTAACTCCGGTACACCTCTAACCATTTCCTTATTGACCAGCTTGGACATGCTTCTGACATTCATGTGGCCAAGGCGTTGATGCCATAAGACAGGGTCATCTTTTTCAGCTCTAAGACAAACTTTTGGTTCTTCCCACATGTAGCAGTTGTTACCGGTTCTAACACCTGAAAGAGCATTCTGATTCTTCTCATCTGTAGCCCAACACTTGACTCTGTTGAAGCTCACTGTTGATCCTTCATCACATAGCTGACTTACACTTATCAAATTTGCAGTAAGTCCCTCCACAAAGTAAACATTTGTGAGTTGCGGTTTCTCAGCTTCAGTCAAGTCTCCTTTTCCTCTAATTCTTCCTTTAGCTCCACCACCGAATGTGACTTTACTCTCCTTAACAGTAGTGTAGTTGTTAAGATTAGAATGACTTCCCGTCATGTGTCGAGATGCTCCACTGTCAAAGTACCACGGCCTTGACCCACCTGCTTCAGCTGAAATGTATGCTACATGACAGTACAGATCGTCCCTCTTAACATACATCTTTGAAGCTCTGTGTTGATGTGGATAGAGCTTACCTTGTCGTTTCAGCTGGTTTACCTTAGCTGCATATCTGTAGCAGAATCTCTGAATGTGACCATGTCGTCCACAGTAGTAGCATTCGTAACCTGTCACTGACCTGTGATAGTGACTGTGATTGAAGTTCTGGTACTATCGTCTTGCTGGAACAGCTCCAGTCTGGTTTTGAAACCCTGTCTGACGATAATTGTAGTTCTGATACTGTTGTCTTGCTGGAACAGCTCTGGTCTGGTTTCTGAATCATGTCTGACTTCGAACACCAGGTACAGCTTTGCTTCGAACAAAATTCGTCTTACCACTTGTTTCTCCTCCTTGATACCCCAATCCAAAGTTGGATTTTCCTGTTCTTCCAGAAGCTAAGATGCTATCCAAGTCCTTTGTTCCACTGTTCAACATGTGTATCTTCTTGCGGGTATCGCTGAGTTCTTGAGTAAGCACTCTGACATTCTCCTCTTCCAACCCGAGTTTCTGAACGAGTTCACTATTCTTCTGATTCTCCAGAGCCAAGTCAGCTTTCAGTTTTTCATTTAGTTCCAAAATTGCTAGCTTCTCTTCCATCCAAGCAATCTTCTCTTTACTCAGAAGACACCAGTTGTCATACATTTTCCTGAACTGTCCATCAATATCAAGATCCTTCTCCATTTCTGATTCATCATCAGCTTGGACAATACTATCTCTGTCTTCTACATCACTGTCAGAGTTTTCTTCTATGATTCCTATAAAGGAAACGAAACCTTTCACATCATCATCTGAATCGTCATCTTCAGATTCACTATCAACCAGTTAAGAGAGTTGTATCTTCTTAACAATGTATGATCTCAACTTAGTTCAGATGCCTGCTCTGATACCAAGTGAAATTTGGATGAACTCAGAACCGTATTTCCCAAACTCAGAAAC